AAGCAAATTTCTACATGAAAATCAAAGATTCGACTTCCGCTACGATGTTGTCACTCACGATCGCAAACCCGCCTGTCTATATGCATTGTTGTCCTGTTCTTCACCGCGCAGTTGGAAACAAAGGAAAGCTCCTCTTCTGTCAAACTCGCTGTACATTTCTACATTACAATTTTTAGTTGTCTTTAGATTTTCTTAATCTCTTCATTGCAATATATCTAATCAAAATACAAATAATAAATGTGATTACCTTTCCCTTTTCCAAATTCCTAATATTGTTATCTTCTAAACATTTGTGTACTCGCTCATTGCTTATAAAACATTAAATTGTCGTTGCCCAACATTTAATAAGTTTTTCGTTATTCTATAATGACCTACAGGTCGATTGACTGTGCATAACTTTCCTAAATGTTCTTTGTTTATTTATTTACTCATCACATGTGTGCTAAAAGCGCAGTTCCTAGGATTATTAGAAATAACTCTTTACATGTCCACCTTTGCACTTTTGACTATTTGTCTCTTTATTGAATGTCAATTTTAGTCATTTTGGTGCACGTTTTTAATAATCATTGGGACGCGTCTGATTGGACCGTCACACATGGCAACCAAATCGCATATCTGGAATCTTTCGAATCCATTAATTCGATTGGATATATCCCCACCTTCTTAACTTGCCTTATGCATTTGCGCCTCAGTATAATCAAGTTAGAACCGAATAATTCTTCCGAGACAAGAGGACGTCGTCCTCGTGTCGCGCAAAGTTTTATAGACTTCGCGCAAATTAAAGTCCTATTTTAGGCAGGTCTGGCATTAGCACTGCTGTGCATGCTATTTAAAGTGTAGTATCTTTCCGTATACGTACGTATTTACGGAGTAATATACGTAGTAATATACGTAGTATAGGAAAAGTGATGTAATGCTGCGGAAAATCAATTTCGAGATTTCAACGGAAATGCACGTTTTGGGGACCCTGATACCGACATTTTTTTTTATTTTTTAGAACGTCCGTCAATGTGTCCGTCCGTCTATCCGTCCGTCAGTCGTTCGACTGAGGAGGCCACTAGCGGCTAAACTACGCATAGGAGTTTTTCCAAATTGAAGAAACCCTTGTCCATCTGGCTCAACTCGAAGCTTTGAGATTTTGAAAAACATTCTTCACACTTTTTAGGTACATTACATGAAGTCCTCCGGACATTTTCAAACTTTTCTCAAAAACGGCTCCAATTTTTTTCTTTGAATTTATTGTAAGAATAGAGTAAAATACTCTTAAGGCGGCATAAGTACTATTTTCACTGATAACACTGAATTTTCGAAAATTGCAAAATACTGGATTTTTTCGGCGTCTTTCAACAACTACAATATTGAAGATAAAGATTTTTCCTTTAAAATAAAAATTGTTTTCCATAAATAGTTGTACATGACTTTTACTAAAGTCATGTACAGATATTTTTGAAAATTTAAATAGTTTTCGCGCAATATTGCGATTAATATGTGCAATTTAAAAAAATATAAAAACAAAATTTTCTCAAAAGTGGTTCCATTTTTTCTTTAAACTTTTGATAGGGATAGGGCTAAATATACACTACGAGATGACATAAACATCATATTGCTCTATTATTTTGTGTTTTTTTTCAAAATGTACAAAAATCTAATTTTCTGACATGTATATTACGTTGTTAATATTTACATTAACAGCAATCTTTTCATGAGTACATGTACTTTAAATAATGTCAGAATAAGTTTTTCGAAAACACAACCGTTCTCTGAGAAAATTAGCGCAAAATTCTGCATTTTCAGAAACGCTCAGATGCCATTTTCACACAAACGGCTCCAATTTTTTTCTGCAAACTTTCCGAAAGGATAGTTCTAATTGCACTCTTTAATACGACCTTAAGTTCATTTCGGAGATTTCTTTTTTAATTACCCTTTTTGTGAAAGATCTCTCATGCTGGTAATATGCACACTTCCAGGAATTTGTGAACACTATTGCATTTGTGCGTTAAATTTCTTCAAATGAAGTTCTTCAAAAACTCAAAACTTTTCTGTGAAAAAGTACTTAAACTTTAGAATTTATGAATGAATGCCTTATTATACGTGGCGAGACTCAGGCCAAGTGGCCTGCTCTTCCGTCTGACCACGCAAATTTCGCTACGCTCCTTTTTACCAACTAGCAGAGAAAGGTATCTCCTGGCCGAGAATCAGGCGATTTGAATTTAGTTCAGAGGTGTCATTTAGGCTTGAGGATCTTTTACATGCAAGTAAATCTACTAACATGGGACAGCCGGCTTTACTTCCTCTCCGAAGGAGGGCGTAGATTTTTTCGCCCTTAAAAATTCACGGCTTTGATCGGGTTTGAACCTGCCAACTTGAGTGAAACAGTCCGATACGCTAACCGTTGCACCATCGCCGCCCTTAGCCCTTTAAGTAAATTGCCCTTTAAGTAAATTGCCATTTATGAAGATATTTTACTGTTCTTTCATATTCTTAAAATAATATTTCCATTCTACTATTAGGAAGCCAAAATATTAGGAAAATTTCAAAAAAATGTTCTCTGGACGGCGATATATGGCAGCAGGCAAGAGTATGTGGCAAGTTCGAATTGTTAGCCGAGGCCAAAGGGTGTAGAAAACTAATACGGGAAAGTCAATGCCATTCTAAAGCACCACTATCCTTGTAATTAACATAATAAGTGACAAACTGTGCCTGCTTACCGAGGTATGAACTGGAATTCTGTGCCGCGCGCCAACTGTAGTGTTCGTAGAACGATATCGTATCTTGTTCGGGGGCAGAAACCTGTTCGTAAGTGCTAAGTACATGTAATGAAGACTTGCTACCAGTAAAATCTCAGCCACCTCTGTTCGGGCAATCTCTACCCGTCGCTCAGTCTACTGGGTAGGACGTCAAGTCAAATTATTTATGAAAAGTGAGTTTTCCTTTTATAGACGTCAATGTAAGTAAATGTTATTTTGTTCTAATCATTGAACGAATAGGATTAGATCGTCTTTCTGAATAACTCATATTACCAGGACCTAGGTTTTTTGTAGGATACAGTCTTTTCTTTATAATGGGCTATATAATTAATAACTATTTTTTTAAATCCGTGGCTACGACAGCCCCTACTTGTCGCCTATGTGTAACAGTTACCGAATATTATAACACTACGTGATCATACAAGGGAGGGAAAGTTTCTCGGCTTCAGTGGTTGGCAGCACTGTCTGTACCTTGACTTATCTTATCCTCAAATTTTTCTTGTGCGTCACCTGTATTGTTTAGTTCTTAGCTCCCGTTGAAGTCATTTCAGAGCATTTTATCACGAGTGCCTGTTATCCGTGCGCATCATGGAAGAAATGAGGTGAAAGTTTTTGTAACTTTTGAAAAAACAAAAGGCTAGAACAAACTGATGTTTATATCATCTCAGAGTATATTTATCACTATCGTTATCAAAATATAATTAAAAATGTTCGGCTGAGAAATTGTTTTGGAATTTTTTTAAACTGCACATATTGCAAGAAATTTGTGCGAACACTACTAAAACTTTTTTAAAATGTACATGTTCTTAATGAAAGAACTTACTATGGAAGACAAATTAAATTTGAAGGAAAAACCTCTATCTTCAATTTTTAAGTTGTAGGAACATGCCGCAAAAAAATCAAAATTTTGCAGTTTTTGAAAATTCAGAGTTAACTGTGAAAATCGGACCTATGCCACCTTTATAACTGTATTTCACTCTATTCTTATAAGAAATTTAAAGAAAAAATTTGGATCCGTTTCTGAGAAAATTTTAAAAATGTCCTAGGGGCTTCGTGTAAAATACCCCCAAATTTTCAAGAACGTTTTTCGAACTCGTGGCGCCTCTAATGGCGCCAGATCGATCGGGGAATATCGATTTTATAAAACATCCTACGCATGGTTTAGGCGCTTGAGGTGTTCACTAACTGACAGACGAACGTTTTTCCGTCAATTGGTTATTCGGCCTTGAGGACCGATAAACAGTAATTCTGGCTACACCACATGTTACAGCATTTTTCTTAATTTAGCAACTGGATTTCTTTATCAGGGCCTGGCAATTAATTATTTTCTCCCGAAAATCCACAGTGTTTTCGCGTAGCATTACCTAACTTTTCCTATACTACACATATTTCTCAGTCTATAGGTATTTATAGGTGAAAGTAATAACTAGAGAACACAGCACTTCGTCAACTGAAACGAACACAAATATGGAAAACTTTCTCTGTAAGATTAACCTGTTATATACAATTTTATATATGTGTGCAAATGTGTTCTACCTATAACTTTTGAACCACTGTAGAGATTGCTTTTCGACTTTTCACGAATACATTTGAGAAGCCTAAGAAACTCAGGGTTGCGAATCTAAATGTTATCCCCAATTGTGTGGATTAAAAAAGTTTAATATAATCGCCAGTGAATCTAGGCGCCGAGCGACGCGGCGCGGTAGGCAGGTCAAATTGAGTTATCTTCCGAGGATACTAATTTCAAAATAAGTTACTTCGATGAAATCGCCTTGTTATACAAATGTATAAAAATACGTCCCACAATTAATCCTTTTGTATAAAACCTCATAAGGCAAACTAGTGAGCCACCACGTGTTCATTATAGCAAGAAATGTAGAAAGTAGATATGTAAAATTATTGCATGTTTCAGCTTCACTATGATTCCTGCTAATTTAGCGGCTTCATCTGCCCGAATTAGGTTGGGATTTACAATTAAAATATTTCAACAATTATTAAAAAATATATAATATGTATTTATGTCATTGAATATGTACATGATTCATAAAAATTTGTACAGAATGAATGATGAAGTGCAATAAATAACAAAAACAAACACACACATGACGAAAATATGATATGGTTATCACACTAAGATTATAATGATACAATTTTAGCTAAGATGTAAGATGCGACGAGAGCCATTAGATGCGATAAGCTGGTCGTTGCCGTTGAAGTATCAACAACTGAAACAGAAACATTAGTGTGATTGATATGTGCATTAAACATAAATAAATAATGTTTCCAGTTAACTCAATTTAGAAAACAACGAAACATATATGAGAAAGTATGTTATTTTTGCATATCTTTTCATATCCATGATACAGAGATCTGAACCTTTTTTTAAAAAGAAGATAAGACTGCTTCAGTATCGCGTAAATCTCTCCAAAGTAATGAAATGTTAACAATCTACAGGAATACCAACAGATGAGAAGTTTTGCAATTGATATTACTTCCATCACAATTGTTTACGGGAAAGTGGAATATGAAATTTTGATACAAGACCTGTAGGAAATGAAAATAGAGATTGCTTACATTCACAATCCAAAAAATCTGGAGAAATTCTGGAACCGAGTACACATACACAGGTGTGATTTGTTTTGTCACATTCCACGTTTTCCGCGAATCTTGGAGTGTAACACTGATCGGTTGACAAACAGCCCTCGCCCAGCTCTGAAACAATAATAATAATAATAATAGTCCATAAGGAACAAACAGACATATTCTTTGATAAAATTAACTCCATGGCACAGTAGTTTATTTATAACATAAGCATCTTTTGAAAGATGTCATCAGTCTGTGATAACTGCGCAGAACTATATTTCTTCAGTCATCATTTCTTTTAAAAAATTCTGGGATCGAGGTCGAACACAGAAAGAATTTATTAAAATATTGCAATTAAATTTGTAGGTTCTTCATTGTTAATTTCATTGATTCCCAAACTCATCAAGTAGTATGATTTGAGTCCTGTTAGTGAATGTTTTATCCCAGAAGGTGGCGTTTGGATTTCCCTGTGGGATGGGGAGACTTGCACATGAGCTTGCGGAGTATCCCCCTCCAGATATCCGCCTCAGTCGGGACAACCTCTAAGCTCCTGACATGTGTAGCAATGTGGTGCATGTAAGTGCAAGGAAAAACGATTAGGAGGAAGGGAACATTGCACACGGACCGTGACCCGTTTGATGCGGAGCCGCTCCGGCCTTCACCTGGTGTTGATCGGAGAAACCACGGATCGGAGAAACCATCCATCAGAGCAGCCGGTCATCAGAATTCTCCTCCAGACAGCGGATATATTCGAACTAGCTGTCTAGCTAGTAGCGAAACTCCACTACCGCCGGGACTTGAACCCTTGTACCTCCCAGTAAGAGTCGCTGCCCTCGTTCAAAATATGGCCTGAGTTTGATTAGAGATACCAGCTAAGAAAACTATGTATTCGTAGGCTTCCGCGGCCGGAGTCATTGAATACTTGGCTGTCCAGGATAAGCAGCGTCTCAGACAATCGATCTGACGTACTGACCAGCAGTATGGCTCTGAAGAAGGCCATAACACGAAGGCCGAAACGTCAGCTCGATCGACTGCGTCGCGGCTCATCCTGGACAGCCAAGTGTCCAGCAAAGATAACTAATCTTAACACATAAAATGGATGTGGGTATGTACGTCAACACTTTTGAGGAGAGCTTCGCGATTCCAAAATGTTGGTTCAAATTTGGTTATACCACGAAAAGTCTTTGGAAATGACTTAATTTACAAAGGGAGCCTTGTCGCGCATTGCCAAGTAAACCCGATCGGGATCGGGAGAGAATGGTGGAAACAGACTGATCGGGATCGGGAGAGAATGGTGGAAACAGACTGCGGTGCAGACTGAGTGGGCGGTGTGAACAGAGCAGGTAGTGTAGAAGAATGTGGTACGGTAATCTGAGGAAAAAGGACAAATGAGGGTGGGAGGGGCGGGTTGAACCCGAGATAGGGAAGCTTTTTAATAGATTAAGTGTGGTTTATAGATTAACCGCTCTACGCCGGGACGATAAATGCAACAGATATGTTCATTAACATTTTCAGATAATTAATACCGGAATAATACAAAAAAATCGTAGGTATCTAGTAGTATGTACTACATGTCAATATACGGTTTAAAGTTGTAGAGTTGACTTTCAGATTGCTTCATTTCTGGTCATTGAACGAAGACATTTACTTATCTATATACTTGATACGATGTATGACCATATCTGAATCACCTTGAAGATAAAAATATTGATAAAGGTTTTACTTAGCCTCTTTCGTTGCAAATGCAAAACTGAGTTT